CCTCCTTTATCAGCCTCTTTAATAATGATAGTAGGGTCATCGCATAGGCTTTTAAGAGCTTTTTCCTCTTCCTTAGATATATATATATATATATATATATATATATATATATATATATATATATATATATATATATATATATATATATATATATATATATGACTGCCGTCATGAGAAAAGGGCCCTTATCTTTTGACGTCACAATGCTCAGAAAACGACGTCAAAGTCGCGGTATTGTAAACACGGAAGTAAATTTTGTTGACTGCGTTTTTGTAGAAAAACACGTGTAGATAGAATGAAATAAAACTGGATTTCCTGGTGTGAAAAAAATAAAATCATACGAATTTCGAAACGGAAAATTTTAATAGATAACATATTTACCATTTAGTTCATGTATTTATTAAGGTTTCTGTGTAAATATTCTGTATAACATAATCCAAACGTTATGTTGAACGCATTATCAGAAAGAGCGATTAAAAGCGACGTCTATATATGATGCAAGGCTACAGATATATACTAGTATATATATTTTTTCTTTTTTTTGACTCAGCTATTTGAAAATGCTTATATTCGACTTATACGTTGATGTATAAATTAGTCTTAGTACTGATAGGTAGTTAGTACATACATTCATATTTTTTCAGAGGGAGAGAGAGAGGGGAGGCACTCAATGCACATACACATGTACGCGTTGTTAAAAAGTAAAAATGCTTCTTTCATTTAGAAAAAATATATTGTAATAATGTTATGACATATCTTATTTTCATTCCATTGCTCATCATATCAATAAGCGCAGTTAGACCAGTTCAAGTGTGTGGCGTCGTTATTCAAGTGGAGATGGGGGGGGGGGGGCTGTAATTAACAAGCCAAAAAAGTCTCCAAAGGTATAGATACTGTAATATGGGGAATTTGATGTTCCTATCACAACAATGGAAGGGGTGTGTATGTGGCAAAAGGCCTTTTCATAAATAATTAACAGCATGAGAATATTCTCCGGAAAAAATTAGGGGGGGGGGGGGTCCCTCTCCCCTTTGATTATACTGCCTAAGGATCAAAGAAAAGTGATTCTCGTATTTCTCTGGTAAATATGTAAGTTTTGAAATCGGGCATACTAAACATGTGTACATAGCATAAAAACTTGCACTATCGAATGTTTTCAAAGTTTTTTGTGTCTTTTCCACAGTATTTTCGTATCCATTGTTTACTTGTACATGTAAGAAAGCTCAAATCGAGAACTAATAAACGGTGAAATTACACGAACCAGGAAAACAATAAAGCATGCACAGAATTGCTGATGAATTTCATAATACGAAGTATTTGCTTTAACAAAAGTTGAAGTACATTGTTATCATAAATATCGAAAAAAGTATTATTCTTTGATAACAATTACTCAACAAAGACAATCAACAGTGGCGGACCCAGAAATTTCATAACAGAGGGCGCAGTAGAAGGCAGGGCTCTGAGGGCTGTATTGAAGCCTCCATCGGGTGCAGAGCAAGGCCCTGCTGGGGTCCGGGGGCGAATCCACCGGAAACTGACGAATTCTAAGAAATAAGAGGTGTTTTTCCCTTGTTTTTAGGATAATACAAACAAATTTTTAAAAAATTCAAACGGAAGGTGGGGGGGGGGGGGGGCACGCCCTGCGCTGGACCCGCCTTTGATCAAGAAATCTTCATCATTGGAAAAATTAAATAAAAAAAAAAAAAAATAAGAGAACCGGTAATGATTTGAGCGAAAAAGGAGACGGGTTTTCACATACAACTTTGTAGCTGCTGTTCTGTAGCTCGTTGATAAGCACGAAGAAATTAGAATAGACAACCGGAGAGTTACAAGACGAACTATTGAAAATATAGCTTTATATTTGTTTCTTTCTGTGTACTACTATATTTCATTTGCCAGCTCAAAATATTGCAAACGATGAATTCCTAGCATGCATTCTACTTTTATTTCATGATCGTCTGAGAAATATGAGGATTTATTCAGTCAAGAAAAATCATATTTCCCGAGTCGAATTCGTTGACAAAGAGCATGACGACGACAGGGATATATAAAAATTTATGGCTTTGTCACTTGGCTGTCTGAAACCAATAACGCTTATATAGAACAATTATAATGAGGTTTAATAAATTCTGTTGCTTCTTTTTTTTAAAAAAAACTTTGATGCCTCTGAAATATGTAAGGAAGAATTTAATTTTTGTGAATAAATGAAATTAAGAAATGGATCAAAAATACGCACGCACACGCGCACACCTTTCAGCGTTTATTAGCTAAAACATTACAGGTGATTGCCGACTATTTTTCTATGTTCGGCAGGTAAGAATTAATATATGATCGCATTTAGAAACATTTATTACAGAAACTTCATTTTGAGATTACAGTAGCGGCCCTTTTACAAATGTTTGATTTGTTGTGTACAAATGTTAGTAACGTCGAGAAGAGGAAAATATTTGAAATTTCACAGTAATGATTAAAGATAGCATAGGTTAAAAAAAGAAAGAAAGAAAGAAAAAGAAGAAAATAAGAACAGAGGCATTTATAACAGCTTTCGATAACATATGATTTACTTGTAAAGAAAAATAAGTTGACAAACGTATCAATTTTCATATACGGGCTAAACTTTTATGAGACAATCCTAAGACCGGATTTTGTGCTTCAATTTTCTGTTTCTACTCCATCAGTAAGGCAGGCGCAGAAACAAAATTGTATGAACAATGAATTTTTTTTTTTTTTTCAGCGTATACACAAGAAAATGCGCTTGGAATTTTAAATAGAAAACATATATTTTAATATGATTTTCATGTACTACGGAAAAACCTTTTTGGAAACAATTTTACATATCATGACGTGATATTTTGTCCACTAGAATTCATCTCTGATACAGAGAATACGCGAGGTTTTGTTTGGGTTGGATCTTCCCTTACTCCAGAACTGTGTAGATTTTTTTTATATTTTAATGTACAAGTGCTTTATATATTTTTTAATTGAGCTAGAATAGAATGCCTAGTATGGAATTGTACAGTACATGCATTTTATTTTCGAATGAACATAATCCGTTTCTAGAGCCTGTCTAGCCCCCACCCCCTCCTTTTTCCAAATCCATGTAACTGGATCTGCCTCTAGAATTGTAAAAATGTTAGAACAAAGGGACCTTCAGGGTTTATATTGACAAACTAGTAACTTGGAAGAAGAAATCAAATATCGGCTAGAGTTTATACGTATTGTTAAGTTTATTTGAATAATTTAAAACCGAATTTTACTCTCGCGACGTCATTACGTCTTCAAGGAATAACGTCAACGTTGTTTTGATGCGCCTTACTAAAATGATCATAAAATAGTGAAAAAATAAGATATTTTTAAAGGTAATGTATTTTTGCATTCAGAAAGAGTCAGGCTATCAAAATTTACCAAAAAGTCATTTTGTGAAATTTTGACCTTAAGGGCCCTTTTCTCATGACGGCTGTCATATATATATATATATATAATCATTTAAGAAGGATTAAAACGTTTATTTATTGTAATATTGATATTTACGTCATAGTACGTTTCATTGATGGAACAGCCACCGATCAAGAAATCTGTACAGGTGATATGCCTAGTGTTTTTATGAACTTATAAATGGCAATGGTTTTCTTTAGAAATAAAGGAGAAAATATTCAGTGGATGTAATTATCAAACAATGGCCTAACAATTAGTATGAAAAACGTGTCAGCATTTGACCTAATGACAGATTGTATTTGCTGATAAGACCATCGTATCGACCATAGAACTTACGAAGTGATGACTTTAAACGAGACTGCTGATATTCTTGTTTCATCAACTTGTTTGCCAATAACTACTATATTTTAGAAATTGACATAATCAAGCAAGATCATGCTCTTACGTATCGAATCAACTGAGAGATATAAACTCCGTATGCTGGTGATAAAGTTTTATTGCTTTATAAGTAAGGGAAGTTGACGATTGAAAAGGTATCACGTTTATCATAAGGCTTGGTTGTAAGATTACCATTAAAGTCTTTTTCTAGTAAAATATCCAAATAAGAAACTGATGTGTCAGACTCTGTGGTATCTACGTTTCAAGCTCACCGGGATATATTGTATCGACATAAGAATGGAAATAACCATTGTTAACTGACAATGCGTCATCGATATATCCAAATGTCGAATTGAAGGCCACACAAGTGTTTTCTTCTTTTCACGTGTAAGATTTTGAACAAATTCTGCTTCGTATGAATGCAAAAATAGGTCTACTAATAACGGGGCGCAATCGGTACCCATTGGAATTCCAATAAATTGTTGAAAGACCTGGTCTCCAAAAAACACATAGATATTGTCAATCAGAAACTCTAGCATCTTTTTGATATTAACTTTTGAGTACTTGTGTGTATAATCAGAACATTTTTTAACAAAAAAATTTTGCAATAGACCAATGACAAGGTAAGTAAATTTACGAGTTCCATTTTTATTGAAAAAGCAGCTGTCAATGATGTCAAACAGCCTGGACTTTAATTTATCGTGGGGAATGGTTGTTTATAAAGTTGAAAAGTCGTAAGTTTTTATGTTGTTGATTTTCGTAAAATTTTATGATTTCGGATTTTCCAAAAGTTCCTTGGAATCTTTAAGTATCCACTTCTAATTTACACCACTTCTCAAATATATTGTTTCACAGTACTCCTGAAGTTTCTCCTTCACTGCTGTTAATATTTTAGTGAGGAATAAAGAAAGAGTCTAGATAGAACATATACTGGAACCCGCTATGTATCTTTATTTGTAAGGATTATTTTAATGGTCAAATCATATTTCCAAAAATTGTATAAAGTCGGAATGCATGTATATTTACATAGCCAAATACAGCGAGTAAAGATCATATAAACCATTTACATGTTTTTTCAATCAACTGACAAGGTAGAAGGACTATGGATTTAGATGCTAACAATTTAATTAAATATGCTATTATCAAATAAAAACAAAAAAAAAAAAACCATTGATTTTACTGTCTTTATTAAATTCTGTCTTATGAAAAAGTGAGGACACAGAATGAAATGGGAAGATAACACATAGTGAACATGCACAAAAGTCCATTTAATCAATATAAATTGTAAGCAGAACATCACAAGTATTAATTTCAAATAGAGAAAGACAAGGAACTACACACTGGTTGATGAACTAATCGCACAATTCCTTGCTACCAAACAGGACATACCTAAAAACAGCACCAATCGTATTGTTTAATTTTCTTATAGTTACTAAATTCCATTTTTGGACTTCCTTCTTCCTTGTTACTTTACTATAAAGGTGAAGTCCATAGCTGTGAGACCATTTATAATTTTGGTCATACAAAACTGACCCGTGTGGAAAGAAAAGGCAATGGTGTTCATGCACAAACACATGTTGTGGATACTTTCTGCAAAGAATCCTTGCCATCGTTACGGAGTTTGCACCCCATATGTTTGGATTATATGACTTATAACTGTCAATCCAAATGTTAATAAATGTGGAATTTTTTGCTGCAATTATCAATGCACTAGCCATTGCTCCATCATGTCCCATCCCCATGGTGCAATCTTTGTTTCTGAATTCATTTAGTGACCTGAGGACGTATTGGTCTGTGTCAAGGTATATGCCACCGTATTCTACAAATCAAAGTGAAAAACATTACTTAAAAAGGTAAACATTTAAATTACAAATAATTCTAATCAAGCTAGGTACCTTTTTATTATGAATAGTTTCTAAAAAAAAGAAATATGTACAAAGGAATAATGAAAATGGTACCTTTTAATATTTTAAGTCTCATGATGTCAGACTTGTGCTCCACCCATTTGACTTTCTTTCCGGAAATTTCTGTTGGTGGTGTAATTTTTATATACACGATATTGTTGACAAATTTTGGAAGTATATCCCACCATTTCCCAAAAGGTAAAATGTCAAAATAAAGAAAAATTAGACAGGGTTTTTGGTTTTTGTGCGTGCTATAGAAGCTTACAAAATAAATGAACTCAAATTCCCGCTTTCCCAGCCATATGTAATGAACAATGTTTGGAACAGTGGATTTGTCTGTGCAGAATTTACTAATGACTCTTTTTAGACATTTGTCTGGAAACTGAAAGATAGGAATATCTTTTGAATGATTCTTTGATTCCAGATACACGGCATTGTAGGAGCATTTAGGAGTCAGATGTTTTCTTTCTTCTTTAGACTTGGTGAAAATGGTTTCATTTAAATCCACACAATGAATGGTGGAAAGAAATCGCCAGTCCGACCCACCAATTGGTGTAAAATCTGAAAAAAATGATGTCATTTCCTAGTACACAGAAAAAAGTTTTTCACCCTTAGCTGGGAATCTTTTTCTACTTGCTTTATTATTATTGTTTTAATCGCCATCATCGTCATATTATTATTATTATTATTATTATTATTATTATTGTATCATTGTTTCCATGTCTGTTGATCTAAATGATATTTAAATTCTACCATTGCAGTACCAATCAGTTTTTTAAAAGTACTTAAAATCAATTCGTTTATACACTTGATTATATAACTTTCTTAGGTACTGTACGTGTATATAAATTGGCGTATTCAAAATTTAGCGCAGTCACTGGGTATGGAGCTTTTGGCGAAATCATGAATTAGCGCTATACATGTCCGTGCCGTATATTGTATTCATAAATAATTTCTTAATGGTATTCATGAATTAGGGCATCGTTGTCTGCGCCAAAGCCGCTAAAATATGAAGCCCGATTTTTTAAGTACATATACAGTACATTTGTACTTACTTATAAACAAATTGGTCTTTTTCTTTCTGTGCTGAAAATAATACCTTTCAGTTTCAATATCACAGGATTCCTCTTTGTATTCAACATGCTTCGATTTCGCCAAATGTTTGAGCTTTCCTGACGGTTGATTGGTAACATTGACTGCGTTTACTTTCAAAGTTGGTTGGTACTTGATAGACTGTTGTTTCTTCAGATTGTGGTTTTCATTTTGTTTGAGTTTTCCCGATGGTTGATTGGTAGCCTTGACTGCTTTTACTCTCACGGTTGTTTGGTAATCGAAAGGTTGTTGTCTCTTCGGAGTGTATGTTTTAATGATGTGTAACACAGCGTTTCGATCAATATCTTTTTGTAGTTTCTTGTCCATGTAGGTAAAGATTAAAACACAAGTAAATCCAAAAAGCAGGAATAGCATGCTAGAATAAAAAAAAGAAAAGAATTTTTAATTTTAAAGATAAAAGTTTATAAATTTTAATGATAAGTACTTCATGTTTCCATTCTTTTTCGGATATGTTTCTTAAGTTTTAATGACAATAGCCTCTATATTTTTTTCACATCAGCTTGAAAGCAGACTTTTAAATGAAATGTTGCTTTAATAATATTATATTGAATTATGGATGGGTAAATTTGTTATTTAGGACTCCTAAGCTTCAGAATCGGACCTTGAATTAAACTCTGCATAAGTCAGATTTTTTAAATGCTATGAAATATTGTACGTTCATTAATATCTTAAAACATTAAAAAAAACCAGTCCAAATAGAAGAAAATGATTTCAATATTTGTCTAAAATATTTACCGCTTTCCTGTGAAAAATCTGCACTGTAAAATCCTTTCGCAGCTTGGGTGCCTTTAATGGAACATAATATCATAAAATGAATTGTTGTTCTGTTTGTTAAATTTGCATGTTTTGTTGTTTACAAAAAGCTGTACAAAATAAATGTAAGAATTATCACTAAATCTGTAAATTTATAACAATTTTAATAAACAATGCAACTAATAATATTCAAATATTAAAATTTCTAATGTTATATCATTTATTTTGAATCAATTAGGACAAAATTACTGGTGTTATATATTAAAATTCTACTGTAAAGAAATGACAGCAAAGCACAAAATCAATTAATTCATACGGACATCAAAGTTGCTTTCATTAGTATTAAAACGTATTATAAATTTATAAAATATAATTGATTTTAGATTTTTAACGAATCAAATCTGCTCGCCTTTGGTACTTTGCTATAATTTTGTTTCCTCCATAATGTTTTTCAATTACAATTATTGTCTCCAAAGTTCAGAGCTATATGGCTATCACATGTTTATGTTTCAATCATCCCGATTTCTACAACACCCTTTTTATGAATGTGAAGATAAAGTATCAAGGCTAGCTGCTGGCATAAATTTGTGCATACGTCTAAGAAAATCTGAATACAGAATATTAATACGAATTATTATCTACGTATACTGATGATAAATGAGAGAGAGAGAGAGAGAGAGAGAGAGAGAGAGAGAGGTGCGACAAACCTTTTAGCCATATTCAACTTGACTTTCCGCTATAAATAGGTTGTGTCTACATATATCACGAGTGCCTGGTACCTATGAATATTTATAAGATGCATCTAATGAAGTGATTCTAGCCCATATACGTTACTATGGAGCTCCACAGCTCAACTGTGGAGGAAATGACGACATTCATAACCATGAAAACGGACACGCCCCTCATATTTATGATTGAACAATAGGCCATTGATATCAAAAACAATAAAAGTGGACTACAATATTTTTTTAAACAATAGGTATAAAAATAAATGTATATTAAAGGATATTAAAGCAAAGAACAACAGAGTCTGTGACTTGAGTAGATTTTTAGACAATAGGGTATAAAGAAATTACTGTTGTCAATGGAGTCCAACAAATGGAAATTGACACTTCATTGAAGCAGCTTAAAAAATCAAAAACGTCATGTAATTAATTACGGCATTTGATAGAGAACAAAACAAGGGTCTTATGTAGGCCCCTTTTGGGGTTTTTCCATGCCGAAACACTTGATCTTCGCTGTATTATCAATCAATTCTCGATTGAAAAATGTGAATAATTGAGGATTAAAAAAATTGCATGAATGTACCAAGACATTTACAGATGAAAACAATGAATGAAAAGATTGTATGAATGTCTTGCAGCGATACATTTTCATGACTGTGTTAAATAAAGAACTAAAAACTCAAGGGATCTGTTATAACAACTGATAAAAATGAAAATCAGTTACGCTTCCTTTGGGATTTTAAAAAAACAGCTTTACCTCCATTATGTTTACAATCAATAAGGTATTGATGGAAATGAACAATAGGGGGTCAAGATAAATCTCCCTTGCAGTGTTGTCGTTTGTTTCTCTCTCATACACCTCTGCGATGGGCTCACGTCGAGATTTTTGACATAACGTAAAAAACATGACATTCCAAGGATTATTTCAAATTAAACTAATAGTTCTAGAAATACCTAGTTTATATATACCTTAAAAGAAACATTAGTCCAGGCCGAAATTAAAAAAATACCTTTGTTTCCCCTAACGCGACCGACCCACTTAAATCGCGCCGACTGAAAAGTTTTTTTTAATAAGGTTATTCAATTTTTTTTCAATTGTTTATCAACTTTATAAAATACGATTTTATCAAAATCTGTTTTTATCAGAACGGCGGCTTTTGTTCTACTCTGATTTGGCGCCCACAACATGTGGTCACAAAGGGTTAGTTTGTGTTATAAAACAACGGCGACGTATCGATCTTATTATATATCTTTAACTTGTTAGAATCCTACACTCTTGAAACATTTCGTGAATTGAATATATCATGACTAAAGAGTGTTTCGATGGTATTTACAAATTTGTCTACTAAAATTAACGTACATGTACGTAGTAAGCATGGCAAAGCCTGCCTCAAGAGCAGATGAGGGGCCCACCTTGTGTATACATATCAATAAACTTCACTGGATTTCATTCGTTTGGATCTAATAAACAGTTCATGTATGATCCTTTTTTACTACAAAGGACCATAGCAGTTGTAAATATGTCTTTGTATAACTATTTCATCTTGATAAATATAATTCAGATGTCGTTTCTTCATTCCTTTTATTTTTGGGTTAAACTTCGCGACTTTTAACGTTAGATATATGGCATTTTAATTATTTTTTTAGATATGGTTTGGTTGAATTAAATGTTGTTTATACATGTACACTCTTTTCAGATAGTGTAGAAATCTTTAAAATTGGCTTATGGTACAGCCTCCTGAGAGGTCCAACGCATTTTTCTTTAGTCAGGCCCTTGAAAATAGGTTGTTTCTTTGCTTTAAAATCCCTTTAAAATTGTTTTTCCGACAACATATGAATATTTACCTGGTGGAGGGCTCCAAATTTAGACTTTTACTCAGCACCTATGGCCATTGATCATCAAGTATCAGTAAGGGATCTTTTTGATGGCAACATCTATACTGCGACACTGGACTTTTTTACGGTTTCATCCGACTGACCAGTCTCCACATCGCACATCGGGACCTGTGACTTAGAATAAGCTCCTAAATTACGCCCTGACTCTAAAACGAAACATCCACCGGCAAGTGGTGGCGTCTCCATATGAGTGAAAAATTCTCGAGAGGGACGTTAAACAACATTCAATCAATCAATCAATTAAAACGAAACACTCTATAATCACTGCGCCACGCGAAGCCCTTGACATTTTGCCTGTGTAAGCACTTGAAGATGATAGACTGGTAGGTTTGAAAAATATACTCGGATGTCCGATGGTTGAGTATTTGCGAATCTTGTCCTTTTGTAAATATTCGATTTCAATAAATTTACACTGGCCTGAGATTTTCACAAGTTCAAATGAATAATATTTGTGAATTAATTTACCATACTTGTTGCTCTTGAATTTCATTTGTATGGTATTCAGTTTAAAAATCGATTTCTTTCTTTTTTTCTTATTTAAAAAGATATTATTCAATTTTTCAGAATGCATTTCCATAACTGCTGTCAGAAAAAAAAAAATAATTTACCTGCCTACCTACCCAAGTTTAGGTTTAAGGGTCGGGTTAGGGGAAACAAAGATATATTTAATGATGGCCTGACAGATATTTTGATGACAAGTAAATATCAGTTAGTGGCTTTAACATACTAGAAATATCAAGATACCGAGTTTCTGGTCCTGATGATTAGTATCTGACAAGTCGACATAATTATCTGACAAGTCGACATAAACATCTGAAAAGTAGTGGCAGAAATATGCCACCGTAATACCTTGTTCGTACAGCATGATTTTCTTAAGATTATTTTAACTTGAATCTGTGCAATCATTTTTTTAATGACCCATCAGTAAAGTGTATCTGTATAATATGGAATTCATCGTGGAGATGTTTTGCAAATCGTATGCTATCTAAATTATTAATAATAATAAAGAGAATTTTTCATACTTTGTTTTTAGATCATTCAACAACCAGCAACGTTCAAATTCCTATTTCAGTGTTTGGGACGCAAACACTATATCTTGCATTTTTCGCAGTTTGCACCATACTCTCTGAAACGGCTGATATCTTTTAGCATCAGCTTAAAAAAATTCTCCCGTAGAAAGCCCAAACATAAGGGGATATACAATCCTATATTTTTATGGGGAGGGGGTAACAAATATTTGCACATATAACCAACGGGGTTCTATTGAAGGAGGTTGTTAGCTCGAATCTTCACCCTCTATCCGCCCGTTTATTCCCGTTTTATTATCTATATTACAAATTATCACCCCCCCCCCCCCTCCAAAACCATTTTCAACCTCGGCTGCGCCTAGGTTGACAATCGTTTTCTTGGGGTGAAAATTTTCAATGTGATATCTTTAACTACATGAAGGAGAGGCCACTTGGAAGATTTGAAAAAAAAATATTCCTCGAGGCTAACGACAAAAGCAATTATGATCCCATGACCATTTTAAAGTCCGAAGAGGAAATGATTAGATATTTTTTGGAAGAGGAACGTGTTAAAAGAAAAAGAATTAAGGGGGCCGACTGGGGTTTTCATTGCGCAATACTTTGCGCAGCATAGTAAAATAAATCATACTTACTCTTTTAAAGCAAATATTTTTACATAATTTATAAAAATTAACAAAATTAGAAAATCTCAGGTTAAAAAGCCTAATCACGTTTGTAAATAACTGATTTTTTAAACGATTTTTCAAATGATGGGTAGATAGACGTCGTAATAGTGTGTTTTTGACGTTATGAACAACCGAAGTTCTTAAAGAGGGGTCATTAATTATGTCATAAAATAAAAAGAATAAAATAGATGCTCTTGAAATTTTAAACATAGAAAATTGAGAATCTCGCAATCATTTTTCTTATTTTTTATATAAATCTATGGTATCTGTCATGTTTTGTAGCACTCCATAAAAACAGGAAAATATCATGAATTTTGACATTTTGAGATGCCCCCTCTGGAAACCAGACGGTAGAATTTAGTGTTTCTTGCATAAAATGTACAATATAGTATTAATCATCAAATACCATAATTTGAGCAAAAAGTCTACACTAGCATTTGTATAATTTGCTCCGAAGTGCGAAAAAATAGTATTTTCCTATATAATCCTATAGTAAATGTACCTGTATTTTGAGATGGTCCCTTAAAAATAACCAGACGGTAGATTTTCACTAAACTTGGCATGTATACTGAAGTCAATGTAAGATACATATGGTATAAAATTAAAGAGTTCACCGGTATATGGTGACGTCTCTATATAAGTGAAAAAGTCTCGAATGGGACGAAAACAACATACAATCAATCAATCAATCAAGTCTGAACTAAGGGAAAGCATCATGAAAATCATCAA